GCGCTGCTTCACCGCCTTTTTATATAATTCCTCACAAGCTAGTTTTTGGGAGCGAGATGACGATCTTTGCGGGGAGGTGGCTGGAGCCGGCTCGGCATCGCTTTTCTTTCTCCGAGACGAAGACGCCAGCGTGGCTCTACTGTAGCTTACAGCCGCCGAACAACATCGCATGTTAAAGCCAGTGTTTGTCTTGGGTCGAAACGTGCACCCCTCCAGTTCCTTTTTTTGCTTTTCCTGTGCAAGGCTCGCCGCGCTCCTGTACCCCTGTCGCGTGAGTCGCCACGCCAGTAGTTCCTCGTTCTTCTTGGAGAGACGATTCGTTTTGAGGTATTCGCGCAGTTGATCGGGGTTTTGAAGCAGCTCGCTTTGTATGGCGTTGGCTCGCGACTCCCGCTCCTGCGATGTTAACATCCGTCGTGAGGGGGTCTCCATCTCTAATCGGGCGAGAATTCGGGCATGAAGCGCCTCCTCCATCTCCTTCTGCTCCCGCTTCCGCTCTGCCCGCCGGGCCCGTTCCTGCTTCTCTGCCATGGATTCAACGGCCTCCTTGTAGAGGCGTTCGAACAAGGCATCATTCGCGGCGGTCATTCCATTTCTTACGCTCTGTGAAGTGTCAAATTGGCTACTCTCCGCCCGGGCGGAGTCAGTGAAATGGAGACGTTCAAACAACTCCTCGCGCCGCCGTTCGTACTCCCTGCGCCACTCTCGACGTCGCTGCTCATCCTCGGCGCTTTCTGCCAGCAGACGTTGTTTAGCCTCATCTAGTTTCAGGTAGTGAAGGATACGACTGCGACGTTCGTCTCGGTCACGGCGGTTGTTCATGTGATACAGGCGTTCAAAGGGATTTCGAAGCATCGCGCGTTCCATGGCCACATCACACTCCCTAACCTCATTGCGAACCGTGTCCATCTCATCATCTAGCAGAGCCAAAATTTCTTCCTTTTTCTCACGTCGCCCGGGTGTTGGGGACTCTAACATCCGATACCGTCTAAACCGCTCTAACGCCGGACTATGGACGACGGTATGCCGCAACGGCGTGGTCTGCGTCTGGGACGAACAGGCACCGCCGTGTGCCCGACGAGGGGAGGAAGGCGCCCTACCACGATAAGGGGAAGGTTTTACGTCGCGTCTCTCGAACCCTTTTCTCGCACATCCCGCGCCGCGGTCCGAGCTGTAGGAGCGCGCAGAAGGTGTACCGTGTGACCCCCATTTCTTCCGGGGGTTGCTGTCCTCCGACGCGCTACGCGTGGATGCCACAGCGCGTGAGGAGTTACTTCTTGCACCGTGTCTGCCCATTTGCTCGGCGTTTTTGGAGCCCAACGAGGCACAACTTCCCCGACTACTTCGCTGTGACCGCAACCCCGCTCCACCCTCACGCCGCGGAGTGCTTTCCCCTTGGGCATCCCGTCCTTTGCCACCGCTCTGCAAGCGACTTTCGCTTTCCACAGGCGTTCGCCGCATCTCGACAAGCGCCGCCACCGCCTTCTCATGCGAAGGTCGGAAATCAATTTTCTGCGCGTCCTCGACTGGCTTGTTGTTTTCGCAGCGGTGCTGCTCAGCGCATGCGTCCCCGTCATGGGCACTACCATCTTCCGCGCCGTTGCCATCGATGGTGTCCGCAACGCGCCCCTCACCACCGCCAACTCGCTGAGGACGCAGGTTCGTTTCACAAGACGTGGCGACGGGGGCCTCCTGCAGAAACATGATACTCGGTGGAGACGACTTGGATGCAGGGATCGTCCCGTCATCGATTGCAAATTCGATAGAAGACGCCCCATCCTCGGCGTCCTCCGGATTCTCGGGCTCGGCGGCGCCTTCCGCACTCGCGACACCGGCAACTTCAGTGTTCGTCACCTTCCCATCTGGAATGGACTGCGCCGAAAACTGGCGCGCCGCGGACCCCGACGGGGCAGCCCCGCCTTCGTGAGCCTCAGCGGAAGTTTTCACCTGCTCCGGCTCCTGGTGCTCCGCCGTTTCGGCTATTGCGCCCGTAAGGCTGTGAGCCACGGAGCCCGTAGAGGCAACCTCCGGAGGCTGCTCGAGGGCAAGCGAGCCCCGTTCTGGCGTCTGTGAGAGTGATATTGACCTGCGTGTTTGGCGTGAGCAGTACGTGGAGGAGTCGTCGTCCATCAGGCTCATTGCGGGCGGCCCCTCTCACTCCCCACCGCCGTGGCTGGTCCAACTAGAGAAGGGGAGGGGACGATTCTTTACCCGAACTTTCTCGCCTGTCACAAGAGGACGAACACAAGCAAAGAGAGAGAGAGAGAGAGAGAGAGAAGGAAAAAAGGTAAAAAGACGACGGACGA